TACATTTGGTTCTGGCCAAGCTAACACATAGCATATACATGCAAATTATAAATTCACTTGGGTAGGAAAATAATAATCTTCCTCAATTTAAAACACCCAAGTACTATCTTAAATTAAAATTAAAATTTTGTTTCCTTAAGTCCATTGGTATTTTGATTTTTGAGTAGTAGATGTAAATGAACAACTTTAGAAAAGTTTATTGAAATTGTAATTTTCCTCTTTTATTATAGATCTCATGCCTTCATTCATCCGGCATGGTCCAACAATTCCAAGACGAACTGATATCTGTCTTCCAGATTCAAGCTCTAATGCTTTTTCAGCTTCTGGAGATGGAGTAGTTTCAAGAAACCAGAGTTTTCTTAGAACTCCAATTCAAAGAACACCTCATGAAATAATGAGAAGAGAAAGCAACAGATTATCTGCACCTTCTTATCTTGCCAGGAGTTTAGCAGATGTACCTAGGGAGTATGGCTCATCTCAGTCATTTTTGACAGAAGTTAATTTTACTGTTGAAAATGGAGACTCTGGTTCCCGATATTATTACTCCGATAATTTTTTTGATGGTCAGAGAAGGCGTCCACTTGGAGATCGTGCACATGAAGACTACAGATATTATGAATACAATCATGATCTCTTCCAAAGAATGCCACAGAATCAGGGGAGGCATGCTTCAGGTAACTTAATGTTATAGATACATATTAGTTTATGCTGATACTATATTAGTTTATACTATATTAGTTTATATATGCTTCAGGTAACTAATGTTATAGATCCTATATTAGTTTATATTGAAATTGACATTTCAATATAAAAGATGCTCTTCTGGATTTTCCTGGGAAGCCAACAAATAACTCTTAGAGAAGTTTTTTCCATTTCCCATTTTGTCAGTCTTAATTCTTCCTGCTTGCAAGTAGTTACCAAACTATACTGAATGATAGAATTATTGTGTCCATTTATTTTATTTTATTTATTAAATACATTTTTAGCTGTAGGTGGACTTTTATTTTATATGTGGTGCTGAGAATTGAACCCAGGGCCTCACACGTGCTAGGCAAGTGCTTTACCTGAGCTACAACCCAGCCCTGTGTCCATTTATTTTATTAATTGATCTTATATTAAGTTTATTAACTTGATACTTATCTCAAGACCATCTAGACTATTAATATTCTTAAAACATGGAAAATTTAATATGTCTGGTTGGGTCAAATTTAGATTTAGGTTTGGTAGAATAGGAAAGTTAGTTCTTTAGACAAGCAGGACTTAAACCTGGGAAAGGAAAAGAGGATAGGAAGAATTGAGTATGATGATAACATGGGCAATTACATTATTTCATGAGACCTACCACTGTTTCTTTGAACATAATTTTTCATAACCCAGTAACTTCCCAAGTTGATCAGAAATACTTATTATCAAATGGTTAATTATGTGTCAAAAATCTATTTTTGTTCTTTTTGTAATGGGCAAAAAATATTAATCATAGAGTTAAGGAAAAATGCTACTTTTCTTAACTCCTGACTTCTTCGAGGATCAGAAGATATTGGGGAAATGTTACAGTTCTATTTTATCCCTAAAGTACTGGATTACACAATATAAACTGATGCAAACAAAATAAACTTTTCTCATCTGATTATTTTTTTCCTACCTAGTAAGTTGTAGTCTTTAAATTTGGCAGGATAAAGATAATTTGTGCAACAGATATATTTTTTTAACCTACATAACTTCAAATAAGCTGACTTAGTAGTTTGGAGTATGAGTATTTTTATTATAGGAAAAACTGTATTCACTTACATAGCTCTCATTTTCCTTAACCATCTTGGAGTACCTTATTTGGGGAAACAAAATCAGTGTATACACAACAGTCATAGAAATGTTTATTATGTTTTGTGGTCCTGACTGATAGAGAGTCAGAAGAGAGATCAGTGTAGGCTGGAGTACTTTAAAGAATGATTCATAGAGGAGGTAAAGTTTAAACTGGGCTTTGGGCTTGGACTTTAGATAAATAGAGCAGAAGAAAGAGGTTGGAGTTGATGTAATTTGACTTTGTTTGAAGAAATAAAATATAAGATGAAGATTTGTGGTCCCATAGCTTGCTTAGACTTGAGTCAAGCAGAAACCATTAATTGGTTCTTCAAAAAGACAAATGATTTTATGAAAGCAGTGTTTAAAAGATTAATTTTGCAACAATATTTAGCATGAATTAAGGTAGCTCCCTAGAGAAAAGAGAATTTAAGTACCAGTGTCAGTGGAGAGAAAGCAGATCTAGGATGCTTTTTGTAAGAAGAATGATCTTATGGGTTTGAGAGAAGGTAAATCATTAGAGTTTTGAAAATTGGTGAATGGTGAAATAGTTGGTAAGAGCAGCTTATTTTATGAAAGCTGACAGTGTAGTCTCATTGGAACATTAAATAGGAAAGGTTTTTCTGGGCATGCTGAAGTACTGTCGAGCCTGGATGAGTGTCTTGATTTTAAAGACTTAGGTTAAAGGATTAAGATAGTAACAGAAGAATTACAAATTATTTGTAATATGCAGTTCTAAACCTCAGAAATAACTTGTTATCCAACTAAAATAAATTTAAGAAATAAAGCTCATTTATATTTTCTTTTAGAGTATTAACTGCTTATTATAGAAAATTTACAAAATGCAGAAAAGTATTCATTTGCCAGAGATTCTTAGTTATTTTCTTTTCTTCATCTTTCTCCAGAAGAAATGCCTTAAAAAAAAAAAAAAAAAGATTGTTGTGATTATACTCTGAATAGTTTTGTGTCCTTGGTTTTTACTTAAGTTGAATTTCTTAATGTTCTACATTTTTTATGGGTGCATTTAATAATAAATAATAATATATCACTATGGTTTATGTTCAGTGGTTAATATTTTGAGTAAATTAATGAGGACTTGTTTTGAACATTTGGAAAAGGGAAAAGTGGGGCACTGCCAAATTGGGACTTGGCTGCAGAGGAAGTTTGAGAGGGAAGAGTCAGATATGATTGGCATAGCACCTGACAACATAAGAGTTGCTTAAAAATATAAATGGTTGAATGAATATATGAATCCAGAGGTTTCAAACCTGGAAACATAAGTTTTTGTTAGCTGAGGAGGAGCAGGTATAATAGGTGTGTTTATTCTTAATATATTTGTTGCTCTTTGCCCTCACCTTTCCCATTTCTATAACTGCAAACATTACTAATAGTTCACAAAGGTTGAACATCCCTGTTTTAGTCACCTTTTACGTTGCTGTGACCAAAAATACCTGACAAGAACAACTTACAGCAGGACAGATTTGTTTGGAGCTCATCTTTTCAGAGGTTTCAATCTGTAGAGGACTAACTCCATTGCTCTGGGCCCCAGGTGAAGTAACACATCATAGGGGAAGGGCCCAGTGGAGGAAAACTGTTCTGCTCTTGGCAGGGTCAGGAAGCAGAGAGAGCAGTAGTGGGAAGGAGGCCACAGAAAAGATACACCCTTCCAGGTCACAACCCCAGTGATCCACCTCCTCTAGTCATACCTCACATGCCTACAGTTACCACGTAGTCATTCAAACTAGGATGGAGTGGTTAGGATATGGCTCTCATAATCCAGTCATTCACCTTGAACATTCCTGCATTAATACTGGACCTTTTGGGAACACTTCATATCCAAACTATAATACGAAAATTGGAAATACTCAGATATCTGAAATTTCTTAAACACAGACATGATACCACATGTGTAAAACTTCTCCACTTAATCTCACTCTACAGGTGGCAATCAGACCTGCAGGTGCATTAAAAATATTGTGTAAAATTACCTTCCAGCTGTGTGTATAACGTGTGTCTGAAACATACATGAATTCTGTGTTTAGGCTTGGATTCCACCCCGAAATACCTCATTATGTGTATGCAAATATTCCAAAATCCCCACCTCACCCCCAAAAATTCAAAATTGGAAACACTTCT